AAGGGTCCAGGTCCAAAACATCCACTCTCCTGCTCCTCTGATGCTGCCTGACCTGCTGTGTTCTTCCAGCTCCACACTGTATTGACTGTAACTCTAGCATCTGCAGTTCTTGTTATCTCCTGGTGCTGTTGTAGTCTGGCGCACTGATCTTTACCTTGCAGAGGCTCAGCACCAGCTCTCAGACACTTCTTCCTACCGCCCCCTGGACCATGGCCCCACATCCGAACATCAATCCATTGTTGCCAGGATTGTCACCGACCTCGTTACCTCCGGAGATCTTCCCCCTACTACCTCCAACCTTGTCATCTCCCAAGTCCGGACAGCCCGTTTCTACCTCCTTCCCAAAATCCACAAACCACACTGCCCTGGTAGGCCCATCGTATCAGCCTGTTCCTGCTCCATTGAGCTCATTTCCTCCTACCTTGACTCCATCCTCTCTCCACTTGTCCAGACCCTGCCCACCTACATCCGTGGTTCCTCTGATGCCCAACGCTATGTTGACAATTTACAGTTCCCTGGCCCTAACTGCCTCCTATTTACCATGGATGTCCAATCCCTCTATACCTCCATTCCCTAACAGGGTGGTCTGAGACCTCTCAGCTCCTTCCTCGCCCAGAGGCCTGAATAATCCCCATCTACCAACACTCTCCTCCACCTGGCAGAACTTCTTCTCTCATTGAACAATTTCTTCCTTAATTCATCTCACTTCTGCCAAATCAAAGAAGTGGCTAAGGGACCCATGTGGGTCCCAGTTCTGCCTGCCTCTTTATGGGGTATGTGGAACAATCCTTGTTCCAGTCTTTACACTGGCCCCATTCCATGACTCTTCTCTTGGTATATCAACAACTGCTTCAGTGTGCCACTTCATGCTCCCACCAGGACCTTGAAAACTTCATTCATTTTGCCTCCAATTTCTACCCCTCTATAACTTTCACATCTTCCATTTCTGACACTTCCCTTCCTTTTCTTGACCTCTCTGTCTCCCTTTCAGGGAATAAACTGTCCACTGCCACCCACCACAAAGCCACTGACTCTCATAGCTACCTTCTCTACAGCTGGTCACACCCTACCTCCTGCAAGGACTCCATCCCATTCTCCCAGTTCCTTCGCCTACGTTACATCTGTTTGGATGATGCCACCTTCCAAAACAGTGCTGCTGACATGGCTTACTTCTTCTGTGACCGTGGTTTCCCACCCACTGTGGTTGACGGGGCTGTCAACCACATCCAACCTATCACCCGTGCCTCCACCCTTGCCCCTTCCCATCACTCACAACAGAGTGATTGAGTTCCCTTTGTCCTCACTTTTCATCCCACCAGCTTCCACATTCAAAGGATCATTTTTCCGCCATTGCAGACAACTCCAACATGACACCACAACTAAACACATCTTCTGCTCACTCCCCTTGTCGGCATTTTGCAGGGATCGTTCCCTCTGGGACACCCTAAACCATTCCACAACCACTAACACCACCCCTGTTTTCCACGGCACCTTCCTATGTAACCACAGAAGGTGCAACACCTGCCCCTTCAGCTCCTCCCTGCTCACCATCCAAGGGCCTAAACCGTCTTTCCAGGTGAAGCAGCATTTCACCTGTACCTCCTCCAATCTTGTGTATTGTATTTGCCGCACCCAATGTGGCCTACTGTACATTGGAGAAACCAAATGCAGACTGGGTGACCGCTTTGCAGAACACGTCTGGTCTGTGTGCAAGCGGGACTCCAACCTTCCCGTAGCTGGTCATTTTAACGCAGCGTCCTGCTCACATGCCCTCTGTCTGTCCTCGGCACACTGCAATGCTCCAGTGAATCACAGTGAAAACTGGAGGGCAATATCTCATCTTCAGACTCAGCACTTTACAGCCTACTGGACGTAGTACTGAGTTCAATACCTTTACATTGTGAACCAGCTCCTATTTCTTCCCTTTCTTTTAGCCTGTTATCATGTCCTCTCTCCCATCCCTTTGCCCCAGTGGGACTGTCTGTTCTTCCCAGTATGGCAGTTAGGCACACCACTGTTCTGCCATTCTCACATTGTGATCACTTAATCTGAACACTTTCTTCCCCAGCACACTACACTTTACTTCCCCAAACTTTAGCATAAATGCTGTCCCCTCCACACTTCACTTCAGCTCTGATGAAGAGTCATCCCTAGACGCAAAACGTCAGTTTGCTCTCTCTCCGTGGATGCTGTCTGACCCGCTGTGATGTCCAGCATATGTTGTTTTCAGTACAGATTCCAGCATCTGCAGTAATTTGTTCTTACATCCTGTGGCTACTTTCTTTCAGTTTCTGGGATGACTCTGCACTAGACTCTGTGCCACACATGGACCCTGGAGTGAAAATTGGGTCTGACGGGCATTTGCTACTAAAGCAGGACTGTTGTGTTGGAAAATGCAGCCGATTATTCCCGTTTAGGTTGGGTTGTAGCATCTGGCGAAACCCAGGAAAAGACACGGCAGGGCTGCTATCTCAGGGAAGCTGCTACCCTCCCCATGACTGGATCCTTACTCTGATAAAAGGGTTTCTCTCCCCAGTCGGCCCTTCAGTATCACTGACCGGCAACCCCTACGATCACCCTAACCTCATTCAACAGCCCGGAGCTCGCTAACACCCCCGTGTGATCGGACCAAACATTCTGGCCCATGACCACCCAGCCATCGTCAGGCAGTCTCCACCCCCATAGATACAGAGCTGCTCCTCAGGCTGGGGTCTCTCTGACAACATTTACTGCTCGGTGGAGAGTTACCTACTAATGAGGTTGAACTTGTGGGCAGGGGCCTGTTTTTAAAAGGAAGCGTACATAGTGTGAAGTCAAAACACCACAGGATACAAGGAAATCTGATCGATCTGGGTGAAAATTCTAAGGCAAACACTCTCATTAAAATAAAAATGCAATCAAATTCCTTCCCAAGCCCCTTACTTAAAAATCCCACCCAAGTAAATTATATTAAAGGGCTGGATCATTATTCGGATAATTTACTGAAATTGTGTTTAACCTGCCCTTCTAACTAAACCATGTATATTCCCTGGAGAAGTTGACTTTCTAAAACCCAAAAGACAAAAATTTAGGGTAGAGGCAAAAGAACTGCAGATGCTGGAATCCAAGGTAGACAAACAGGAGGCTGGAAGAACACAGCAGGCCAGGCAGCATTTGGAGAGAAGGAGCAGTCAGCATTTTGGGTATTACCATTCATAGTATCCCTACAGTGTGGAAACAGGCCATTCAGCCCAACAAGTCCACACTGCCCCTCCAAAGAGCATCCCACCCAGACCCATTCCCCTACACCTGCACTTCCCAAGTCTAACCCACCTACCTAAACATCTTTGGGCACTATGACGCAATTTAGCAAGGCCAATCCACCTACCCTGCACATCTTTGGACTGTGGAAGGAAACCGGAGCACCCGGAGGAAACCCATGCAGACATAGGGAAAATGTGCCAGCTCCATACAGACAGTCGACCGAGTCTGGAATCAAACCCGGGTCCCTGGTGCTGTGAGGCAGCAGTGCTAACCACTGAGCCACCGTGCCACCCTTTCTTCAGGGCCTAGGACAGTTAGGGTGTCACCTTTTATACTAATGTTTTTAAGGGGCTTACTTTCAACTGAGAGGTGGCAATCGCTGAGACTTACGGAAACACCCGATCAACATTTTCATCATTTAGCTTTGTGTCTATGAACAATCCGAATCGTGGAACTTTATCTTTGCTTGTAAACATTGTATTAGGGTTTAATTGGTCCCTGAAGATTCTTCTTTTTTTGGTCCCATGAATTTTGAGCTGGATATGGAGCTATCGGTTTTTCAGGAGACATGCCATTTGATTCCAAATTGACCCACTTTCACTACACTCATTGCCTCAGGTATGAAGTAAAAATGATGGCCCATCAACCTGGAGCTCCCACTGAAAGTCCGGGAGAGCATCAAATTTGGGCTGATTCCACAATGAGCTTATCGGGCTTACTCCTGCTGTAGGGAGCCCACAGCCCAGGAGAGGAAACAGCAGCATCAACTGGAGATAGCAAGAACTGCAGATGCTGGAGTCAGAGATAACATAGTGTGGAGCTGGAGGAACACAGCAGGCCAGGCAGCAGAGGAACAAAAAATGTTGACGTTTCGGATTGGGACCCTTCTGAAGATCTCGCTCTTTGTGCAACTTTTCTGCAGCCATAACATTATATTTCTCTCTCTGTTCTATTACCCCAATGCACTATGTATGGTATGATCTATCTATAATGCATGCAAAACAAAACTTTTCACTGTACCTAGGTACATGTGACAGTAATAAATCAAATAAAAAAATCAAATCATGTACACTTTTAATTAGTAATGAATTGAGATGTATGAAAAATTAAGAATATTTGGCCAAAATTTAGGTGTCAAATTTTACGCAAGATTGTGTGTTACCTGAGCATATATGATAAAGGCCTCTAGAACTTTCTGACTGTGGGTCCGAGTAAGAACAGTACATTTTGATTGTCAGTTAGAAGCTAGTTGCTAAGGGAAGTTTTCCTCTAGATTGGTTGTTATTTATAAATGCAGTGGTAGAGAGTCCAAATTGTAAAGATAAGGGCGACTTATGGGAAATTATTTATTGATTTACTTTAAAAATGATTTTGACACATTGAAATGTGACAGAGGTACATTGATACAAGATTTTGATATATGCCAATGATTAAACACAGTTTCAATGATTTGATGAGCTCCTGAGCAACATCTTCTGTGAAATGTTCTCAGTGATAGCCATTCATTTGCTAAGGAAGCACAATTTCTACAACGCAATTTCTATTTGTAGATCAGTTGCTTAGCCAATGACTATAGGAGCCAAATGTTTGGAATAGTATACATTCTTTCCAAAGTATTAAAAGAAAACTGAGTCTCAAGCATAGAATTATTTTGTCTCCAGATAGTACCCAAAATACACTTTCTATAAAAGGCAGATTACATAATGCAAAAGAGAAGCTGGAGCATAGCGTAAGCAGCAGCATTCTAAACAGAAGCTCACCCAGAACACTTCTTTTTTTAAAAAAGGAGCTTTTTCAAATTAAGGGGCTAATGGAGGATGGAATAATTAGACACTGGATTGACACGCCTGTTCGGTACCAGCACCAGCTAGTCGGGCGAGATCTCATAGAATGCAAACTGGATCATTTGATATTTGCCCTCCCTGGTCCAACAGAAACAACTGAGGGTCGGAATAAAGTTTCAGTCAAAGAATCAGCAAAATCAGTGGAAGACACTGAGGCTGAAATGTTGTTTGAAATCATGTTGGATGCAGTACAGTTCCGTCCTGAAGATATCATCATTCAAGTGTTCGAAGGATGGCTTCTCATCAGGGCTCAGCATGACCGAAGAATGGATGAACATGGTTTTATTTCAAGGAGTTTTACAAGACAGTACAAACTTCCAGACGGTGTGTTGTCAAAAGATCTTTCTGCAATGTTGTGTCACGATGGCATTCTGGTGGTGAAGACAAAGACATAGCTACAATTCTTACTGTAAATTAATATTGTAGGAAGTAGCTCATGCTGAATTATTACATGTTTCACAAAAATAGAAAATTTACTGAGTACAATGATGCATCAAATAAATATTATAAATTATGTACCTGTTGCAATTTAAAGGAGATAGCTTCACAGTAATGAAAACTTTGAAAGTGGTTCCATTAATTTATCAGCCTGCGGTGTTTGTATGATTTCTGTAGACAGTATTCCAGAGAATTATAGATGAACAAATCACATTAAGCTGCATTTGTTGTTATTTCATAGGATTGCTACTTTCTTTTGTATTGCTGTAAGGAATAATTTAAATGGTATAGTTGCTGTGTATTTTAAAAACATGATTGAAATTTATTACTTGATAATAGTTTCACTAACTGATAATAATGAAATAGGTTCAGTAGATTGCTTTAGCTGATCACTGTGTTATGTCTCTTCTATAATTAGCAGAAAAACATGGAAAACTTAATATGCAATGTCAAATGCAGAATCTAACACTGTAGACTGAGTTGGAATATGAACTCTAATTTTAACTGAATGCAAGTGGTTGAGTTTTGAATGAGTTACAAACAGACCCCAGTGTTACTAATATATAAGCTTATTGATATATTCAAAACGCTGTGATTAACACATTCAACTCCAATAGTCACAGTTACAAAGCCATTAATCCAAGCAATTCATGTTCAAGTGGATGTCTGCCACGTATTTTCTTTCGGCTTATTCCCAGCATAAGTCTTTTTTTTTTGAAAAAAAGTTTGTTCAAAGCAAGTGAGATCTTAAACATGGCTTAAAGGAGATAGGAAGTCGAAACTTTTTATCTTACATCAATTAGGCCTGGATGCAAGAAATTGACTTGAGAAACTGGACACCAATTTATGCAGCATGAGTGAGAAGAGCAATGGTTTGACGATTGGCATGGAGGTGCAACAAGAACAGTTAAGTGTCAATCTTAGTTGTTAGACTAGGCATGTAAACTTTGGTAAGGATATTACCATTAGAATGCAGTAGAGATTGGCAGTTTCCATAACCCTCTTTGCACATTTTTAATTGGAACAAAATGGTGTAATTTTTGTTTTGCCTATAGAAAGCATGATCCAGTGTGTTAATATATGTATCTTTTATCATTACAATTGTATCATTCTTCAACCCCAACTCATTATCTTAAATTGGTTTCTGCTGTTGTCCTTGGCACAATCTGGATATTTAATAAATGTTGCCCAATAATAGAATGACGTCTCTTGGTGGACTTTGTGTTCTGAGATTTGTAAACACAGTTTGGTTGAGGCATGGTCAGCATGCTGCCTGCTGCCAATGGCCAATGGGATGTTTTGTTTGATGTCGTCTTCCTGTCATCGAGATGTACAGCCTACATACCACACCAGCACTGAAACTTACGTGTCACATTATTCATTTGTGTGGTGTGCAAACATCTCTTTTAATAAACTGCATCTTGCACTCCCATATACCATTGAACTTGGGTGATGAGATAAGCTCACCTTCCTCAATGTATTAGTTGAAAAATTTGCCAGTGTCTTCTCTACTACTATCCACCGAAAGCCTATCTTCAGTGGTCAATAAACATAATGGGATTCCTACAATTCTATGCGCTACAAGATCAATCTTATTGGCAACTTCATGAATAGGGCCTTAGCAATCTGCTCATGATGTAAGTTTGATTATGTGATTGGGTACATTGAAACAATACCACATGATCATGGCCGCCCTGACCAAATCATTGTTTACTGGATGTTGCATAAACTCATTTATCTGTGGCTACCACTAATGGCCCCAAACGGTGCTCAGTTTACCTCATTTTAAACTGAAAGAAGATGATTTCTCAAAAATTTGAAAGTAGGTGAAACTAACCAGATTTAGCAGGGTGAGTGAGTGGGAGAATGCATGGTAGATTTTTTAAAATTCATTCACAGAAAGTGGGCAGCACTAGCTATGCCCGCACATATTGCCCAAGGGGCAGTTGAAAGTCAAACAAATTGCAATGAGTCTGGAATCACGTGGAGGTCACATAGGTAGAGATGGCAGTTTCCTTCCCTAAAGGTCATTAATGAATCAGATGGGTTTTAACAGCAATTGACAACAGTTTCATGGTCACCATTAGACTTTTAATTCTAGATTTTTATTGAATTCAAATTCCACCATCTGCCGTGACAAGATTTGAACCAGCACCCCTAGAATGTTATCTGGGTCTCTGGATTAATGGTCTAGCATTAATACCACTCAGCCACCGCATCCCCAAACTTCGCTGGTTTATTAATGTCCTATAGTGAGGAAAATCTGTCATCTTTACCCTGTTAGGTCGACATGCAAGCCGAGACCCAGAACAATGTGTTTGACTCTAATCTATCCTCTGAAATGACCTGGTAAGCCAATGAATTAATAATTATGGATGGGCAACAGATACTGGCCTTTCTAGCAACATGCACATCCCATCTAAGAATAAGGTTACTTTTGTGCCAGGAAATACAATAGATATGTTCTAACAGTACCAGAAATAAAGTGAATGTTTAATATGTTTTTACCTAAAATGTGTTGGCTATAATGTGGTAAGAAGTGATTGATGGAAACTTGCTTTGACAGAAATAATTAAACACAGTAACATATAATGCTGCCGAATTAATAGGATCCAGGCTCAGACCAGTGGCACCTATCCACTAAATTCCAGATCTTCTTCCTGGCATGAACACTAACAATCTTCCTCTAAGAAGGAATAAAAAAAATTATGTGTTAGATCACCTCAGATTGCTGTCCACACTTTCTTGTACTCAGCTGGAGAACATGGGATGTAGAGACGTGGGACCTGATCAGCTCCAACCTTCCCCTTACCTGGGCATTGGAACTGTGGAAAGAATAGATGAGGACAGGATTTTTTTTAAAAAAAAAGGTCAAGAAGCTGCTTTAATTTGTATATAATTGTAACTGTTCAAATAATAACAACACTAGCACTTTCCACTGCACTGTTTTGCTACACAAACAAAGTCTGTTTCTAAGTCATTATGCCTCTGCTTTGAAATATCTAAAGATCATGTTGTGCAAAGTGTTTCCCTAAAGATAGGACCTAATTCTGAAAAGTGTTATTTAAAAATTATGGCCCGGATTTATTGATGGTCAGACAATTGTTTGCGCAGTGTAGGTGAGAGTTGTGCTTAGGAACCCTGCAAAATTCTAATTGTAGCAGACTCTTCACGGTGCCTTCATGGGAAATTCAGAAATCTGAGATTACATTGCAGCTAAGTAGATAGTCATGAAAAATTAGATGATTAAAATTTATATTTAATTTATTTTATGTCATTTAATACATAGAGGTATGAAGTGGTACATTTTGGGAGGAAAAGTATGGACAAACAATATAAATGAAATGATAACATTGTAAAGATGGTGCAGGCGCAGAAGGGCCTTAAGATATATTTGCAAACATCAAACAATGAAAGGCAGTAGAGCAGGTTGAGAAACTGTTAATCTGGTATATGGAATCCTACATGATTTCATGCAGCAAGTGGTTACAATCTGGAATGTACTCCCTAAAGGCAGGCAGGAGGTAGAGGCAGATTCCAAGGTGGTTTCGGGAAGTGAATTGGCATGGGACTGTAGAACATCTGGCTGCTAAACCTTTAGCAGACTGACTTGTGCACACCCCATTCCATAGCTCTCTGTGCAAGTCAATGCAGTAGGCAGAATCAGGTACACACACAGCTGGGAAGAACCTCATCAACTGATCCAGTGTCAATGTGCAGCAAATGTTTCCAGACGAACAGAACAATGATGCAGATGGCTTTATTGATTATACATATGGAACACAGCTAACAAACACCTACCCGTAACATTGATTAAGCCCATACACCAGCCTGAAAACTTCAGGTTACTTGAAGCTGTGTAGCCTGATGGATAATGGATGAAAGACCAGATTTTGAGTTTTATTTCATTGTTTGACAAGGTGTATGGATTTTCCAGATTCTTTATGTTGTAAATATGTGGAACTGCACTGGTCCTTTTGTAGTGCATCTACTGTCCAAATGGTCTTTACATTTCGGTACTGCGTCTTCTAGATGGCACACATTGCTGCTGCAGAGCCTCGGAGTTGGAAGGAGTGAATGTTTGTGGATGTGATGCCAGTCAAGGTGGTGGCTTGGCCTCGTATGTTGTCAAATTTCTTGAGTGTTGATGGAGCTGCATTTGTCTGGGGAGTATTCCACCATGATGGTGTACAGAGTTTGGAAACTCAGGAGGTAAGTTACGCATTGCAGGATTCCTATCCTCTGATCTGCTGAATTGTGGCAGTATTTACATCACTGGTGCAGTTCAGTTTCTGGTCAATGGTAACTCTAGGATACTGACAGTGGGAGAATTCAGCAATGGTAATGCCATTGAATGTCAAGGAGTGATAGTTAGAATTTCAATTGTTGGAGATGGTCATTTCCTGGCATTTATCTGGCAGGAATGCCCCTCCAGCCTATTCAAATAATCATCGAATGCTCGATTGAATGCTTCAATTAAACTTGCTTCCACGGCACTTCCAAACGCAAATCACTTGTTGAGTGAAAAAAGATGGTTTTTCTCACATCACATTTTCTTGTTTTGGAAATCACTTTAAATCTTTGTTCTTGACATTGTTGATCATTTTATGAACAGAAACAATTTCTCCCCATCTACTCTATCCAGGCTTCCTATGATTTTGAAAATTTCTTGAGCCTTCTTCTCTCCAAGGAGAACAGTACCACCTCTCCAAGTTACCCACTTAACCAAAATTTCTTATCCGTGGAACTGCTTGTGTAAATCTCTTCTGCAGTGTTTCCAGTGTGGAGCCCAGTACTGTGTATAATGTTCCAGTTGAGGTCAAACATGTGCCTTGCATAGGTTTAGCATTACCTCCTTGCTCTTGTTCTCTATGCCTTTACTAATGAAGCCCAGGATATGGTATGCCTTGCAAACTGCTTTCTCCTTCCTGTCCTGCTTGCTTTAATGATCATTGCACTAATATACACTCAAGTTCCTCTGCTCCTATATCGCCTTAAGTATTGTCTGTCTATGTTCTTCCTATCAAAATACATCACCTTACAGATCTCTGTATTACCTCATCTGCAGTTATCTACCCACTCCACCAACTTGTCATGGTTCTTTTCAAGTTCTACAATTTCCTCTTCAGAGTTTACATTACTT